ATTTAAAAACAGGAGCGTGTGCAACACGTACATAAACATAAGGGGGTATGGTGCAGTTTTTAAAACAAAGGGTAGTAACACGCACATTTCGTATAACACAGGGGGGTTTGGTGCAATTTACCCTTTTAAAATATAGGCAAAATTACATATAAAAGCACCACATTTCATTTTTTTAATTTAATCACCACCTTTGCAATTTAGCAATTTAATGCACCACTTTAGTTATTTCTTGCTATTCGAATTAGGGTCGAATCTCAGAGATAGAATTTTTTTTATTTAATTTCTCGCGATATATTGAATATATCGTGATAAATTCAATTTATCATAAATATATATATAATATTCAGAGGGTATAACAGGGCTTTGGATAAAAAAACTAACGCCGTTAATGGAGAAATTTAAAAACAGGAGCGTGTGCAACACGTACATAAACATAAGGGGGTATGGTGCAGTTTTTAAAACAAAGGGTAGTAACACGCACATTTCGTATAACACAGGGGGGTTTGATGCAATTTACCCTTTTAAAATATAGGCAAAATTACATATAAAAGCACCACATTTCATTTTTTTAATTTAATCACCACCTTTGCAATTTAGTAATTTAATGCACCACTTTAGTTATTTCTTGCTATTCGAATCACAGAGCTCAATTTCAGGCCTGTTCTGGTGACGTGGCATCTTTGGGCTGACGTGACAGTCTATTTCAATTGAAAAAAAATATGTATGCCTTACAGTATGAGGATTCGAACCCTATTTCTTGCTATTCGAATCACAGGACTCAATTTCGGGCCTGTTCTGGTGACGTGGCATCTTTGAGCTGACGTGGCAGTCTATTTCAATTGAAAAAAAAATATGTATGCCTTACAGTATGAGGATTCGAACCCTGGCCTCCAAAGGAGAAAAATAGCTATACTAACAACTCACCCATCATTTTAGTTAACATATTCAATAACAATTTATATATATAGGAATTACGTATGAATAAATCATATTAAATTTAGAATAATTAATTATATTAAATTAAATTAATTAAATATAAAATTATAATAAATTAAATTAAATGAAAATAAAATAAATTAAGATAATTAAAATATAGAATTTTATTAATTCATATTTTGTGTTAGAGTAAACCATATTAATAATATTTAATAAATAAGATTTTTATTATTTATTATTTCATAATAAGTTATTTTCTTTATTATTTTATTTTATTTTATGTGAATTCACTTTTTTTATACTTTATCATCTTATGTTATATTATTTTTATTATATTTTAATAAATATAACTTATTATGAAAGAATAAATAATAATAAATAAAAATCTTAAATTCATATAATAAATTAAAAATATAATTTAAGTAAATAAAATGTTAAATAATCGTAAATGAATAATAAAACAAAAGGTGTTATTTGTATATAAAATAATAAAATATTAAAAATCATAAATGAAATAATAATTTATTATATAATAATAAGTTATTATATTTATTATAAATTTATTTTAAATAAATAAATAAAAATATTAAATAAATATAATATTATTAATACGATTCACTCTAACACAAAATATGAATTCAAAAAAATATATTTTAATTATCTTAATATATTATTTTTAATTCAATTTTATATAATTTAATTTAATATAATTAAATTATCTTTTAGATTTAATTTGATTTAATGTAATTAAATTATCTTTTAGATTTAATTTGATTTCTTCATATGTAATGTGTATATATATATAAGGTTATTACATTTAACAACTAAGTTGCATTGGTGTGGTGGTAGCAAAGGCTGCCCTTCAACCCTTTTAACCTAGGATCGAATCTCATATAGGGCGTGCAACATAAATTTTTTTTTTAATTGGCACATAGGTCGCCATGTCAGCGCAAAAATGCCATGTAATTGACATGTGGAATGTCATGTCAGCAAAAAAATGCCATATCAGCAGAACGGGCCGCCACGTCAGTAGAACAGGCCCGAAGTTCGGCCTTGTGATTCAAATTGCAAAAAATAACTAAAGCGACATATTAAAGTGCTAAATTGCAAATGTGGTGATTAAATTACAAAAACATGAAAGGTGGTGCATTTATATGCAATTTTGCCTAAAATATAATTATATCTATTTAAACATCTTATTACTTAAACATTTTATTCATAGTTTTTAAACCCGGCCTGGAAATTGACCCGATTCAACCGATTCAATCGTCGGGTCAACGATTCAACCGTCGGGTCACCGGGTCAATTGCTGAACCGGATAATTAATTTAATTTTT